AATAATAATATAATCTATTTAGAGTGACATATATGCCCATGTTAGTAGCTACAAATAATAATATAATCTATTTAGATTGACATATATGCACATGTTAGTAGCTACAAATAATAATATAATCTATTTAGATTGACATATATGCACATGTTAGTAGCTACAAATAATAATATAATCTATTTAGATTGACATATATGCACATGTTAGTAGCTACAAATAATAATCTAAATAGATTATATATACCATAATTTTCTGAATAAAATATCCTTTTTTTTCTACTAAAACTTTATCTAGAAGTTAGAGTGTGTATAATATAAATGTAAATGCTTTTCAAGCCGGTCTAGACTATCTTTCCTGATACGCATTGTGAATGATAATGCATATTTAGTAGAAATGTTGCATTTCAATGGTATGTCTTATTACTTTTCTCTGTTTCTAAGGCATAAATGAAACTGTCTCCCATTTTCATTCATTTTCAGTATCTTTAAACACAATTTTTGAAATAAAATGATCAAGAAACTAACTAATGTGATTTTATTTACATGCACACTTAGACATGTTTCAAAATACAAAACCAGTTATCTCTACATTATGTTTGATATTAAAAACTACAAATTGTTTTCCATGAAACCTTCAAATTCTGGGTCCAAATAGTTGGTGGAAATTCTCTACATAGCAAGTGCTAGGGAAAACTCACTTTTAGCAATTTTACAAATACTCTAACATTTTGACAATATTTATTTGCTGGCTGCAATTGCAAAGATAGCAAGCAATAGAGTGAATGCACAATTAGAGATTATATAGACCCTAACATCCTTGCCATCAAAGGGTTACTTTGACTACAGTATTGCAAAAGTCTATTATTTATGGTGATATGACAAATTTGACACTTTGTACATGAAGATTAGTGTGTATTACATTCAGAAAATTACAGCAGTAGAAATCATACACATATAATAAGATCAAACACATCTACAAACAGCAAATGTGTACTTGCATGTGGTGTGTTGGATCATAATACAAAAGTGCACACTTCTACATGTCTCTCACAGAAACCACTTGCTACATGGTAAAATCAACTCAGTGACAGTTTCATTTCTCTAATGAATGACTTTGCCCATGGAGCATTCGGGCTTGTTATTTTTCCCTTTGTCAAAGTGAAATTTACATTATCCAAGACAATGGGCAACAGAAACTGTAGTCCTAAAATGTATGTTTTTTATGCCAAAGAAAAAGAAAACTTTCAATTACTAAACTTGTCATAACCCAAGCCAGATTCTCTTTCTAGTGCTGCCTGGGGACCTAAGATATATAGAGTATCTGAGCATTTAGTTCTGAGTATTAATGATGGTGAGAAACCCACTTGAAGTAAAAATGTACAGCTATATTAATCACCTAACATCTGTACTCGTACCTGTTCACACTGTTGTCCCTAAGACATGTGTCCAGTAATGGTCAGTTTTAAACAGTCTTTGTTAACCTGAAGATGACCTAAGAAGGTCAAAACTTTGTTCTTGTACTTTATTTTAAATAAAAACTATACATTTTTAGTTCTGGGTCTGCCGAAAGCAAAGATCAACCATACAGAAACACTTTATGGTATAAAAATTCAGAAAAACCTTTACTTACAAACTAATAAAAAAAGGCACACACAGATAGATACTAGTATAGTATATAGATATAGTAAACAAAATCTTGATGAGTACAACCAGATATATATAGATAAAGTAAGCATTTGGCACTCAAATACTCCATACAGTATCAGTCACTGGCTAAGGAAAGCAACAATACATTATTATTCCAGATGTATATATGTTCTCTCACATTGTTGTTTACTTACAATGTTGGACATACAAATACTAAACACTGGCTAAGGAAAGCAACAGATCATTATTTATCCAGATGTATATATGTTCTCTCGTATTGTTGTTTAGTTATAATGTTGGACATGCAAATACTAAACACTGGCTAAGGAAAGCAACAATACATTATTATTCCAGATGTATATATGTTCTCTCACATTGTTGTTTACTTACAATGTTGGACATGCAAATACTAAACACTGGCTAAGGAAAGCAACAGATCATTATTATTCCAAAAATAATGTTTTGTTTTCAATTTTTTATACTTTATTAAAAGGATAATATTTATCTTATACTAGCTTCTAACCCATGACAGGGATCCTTCTATCTTTTCATTTTATTTGTGCTAATCATGTGTCCAAACGAATCAAGTCAAAATTCAGCCTTTTCATACTATTTACTTGTTAATTGTTTTATAGCAATGACAAAATGAAAAACTCCTATAGCAAATGTTCATGTACTGACCACTGTAATATTGAATGTTATTTATTAAGTCACTAAAGTTCATGTCGTTCTTGTTAATACCTTTAAGTTAATTAGAATAAGCAATAAAAAAAAATTCACTTCACTTGAGTATAATGATAAAACAAGTATTCTCACTTCACTTGAGTTTAATGATAAAACAAGTATTCTCACTTCACTTGAGTATAATGATAAAACAAGTATTCTCACTTCACTTGAGTATAGTGATAAAACAAGTATTCTCACTTCACTTGAGTATAGTGATAAAACAAGTATTCTCACTTCACTTCACTATAATGATAAAACAAGTATTCTCACTTGAGTATAATGATGAAACAAGTATTCTAACTTCACTTGAGTATAATGATAAAACAAGTATTCTAATTTTATCATTATACTCAAGTGAAGTGAGAATACTTGTTTTATCATTATACTCAAGTGAAGATTTGTTTTGAAATAAGTTGGAATACTTGTTTTATCATTATACTCAAGTGAAGTGAGAATACTTGTTTTATCATTATACTCAAGTGAAGTGAGAATACTTGTTTTATCATTATACTCAAGTGAAGTGAGAATACTTGTTTTATCATTATACTCAAGTGAAGTGAGAATACTTGATTTCTTATCTTCAGCCACATCAACTGACTTCAATATTAGAGAGACAATTAATAAACTACTGTATAATTTTAAATCAATGAAAGAAACAAACATAATTACTTGCGTCAGGAAGTGGAGCTTCTGCGACTGCTGTTGCACCTGGTAAGGAAAGTTTGTTCTGTGATTCCTTTTGATAAAGTGACCTCATTTCTGGCCAATTTGAGGGATCCGCAAGTTCAGCTAAAGATAAAAACAGTGGCAAAATAATGAGTCATACAATACCAAAGCTTTTGCTGATAATTTACTCAAAAACGACCTGTAAGTGAGGTCCTCAAGTGCTGCCTAGGTCTCACTGACCATAGAAAATGTCATACATATTTCATAGAAAATAACACCAGCATTACCAGAAAAATTTTAATCCATAGATAAGTAAGAAATATGGTTTAGACACAAAGTAGCTTGGTTGGTTTTGAATTTTGCTCAAAGCTACACAAAGGCTATCTAGACAACACCACCGACTACCAACTCTTGGGCTACTCTTTTACCACCGAATAGTGGGATTGACCGTTACATTATAACATCCCTACAGCTGAAAGTACGAGCATGTTGGTGCAACAGGGATTTGAACCTGAGACTCACAGATTGCAAGTTAAGAGCTCTAAACACCAGGCTATGCCAGACCCATACAAAGTGAAATTTTCTAAGAGATTTAATACAAATAAACATCATGACACCAATATCAGATGTCAAATAAAATATATTTGAAAAATAAAATTACATGTTCTTTCCTAAAAATTGAAAGTTGTCACTTCTTGAAATTAGACCTTGTATAGCTTTGGGAACTTAATAAAACATTCTCACCTACTAATAAAAAAAATTGGACAATTATAAAAACCACAAAACTATCAACACGTTAGTAAAGTGACAACCTCAAAACCCTACTATAAGTGGAAGAGTTACTTTAGTAACTAAACGTTTTACTAGAACTTAAATAACATCCTCCTATGGAGTATAACATAGGCTTGACTTTACATTCCAACATCAGTTGATACAAAAATCAAACAAAAATATTGCAATTTTCAATACAATAATGAAGCAATAATACAAATGCTTTCAAAAGGTAGATTTTCTTTCCTCAGATTTAATGGGATTGTTATTTTATGACTCACTTTTCCATTCAATTTTTTAACTAATATGTACAGTGTTTAAATACAGAATGCCTAAGAAAAAACTAGGTATAAAATATTTTTATAAAATTTAAAAACTGTCTAAAATTCCAAAAACAAATCGTTCACTTCTCAGATATAACAGCACTAATATAGTGGTGATAATTATCTGAAAAATCACAATTACCAAAATTCTATTAACTTAGAACTTTTTTGCTCGTCTTTAAGCAGGTCAATTTCAGTACCTAAAAATTAACCCCTGGTAACATTTTAAAGCATAATAGTAATTAAGATTGACAGTTGTGAGCCCTGAGTAAAATGTTAAAAGTCTTCTGGTTAGAAAGAGAGGCAGCTGTGGTTCATGGTAAAGTGTTAAAACCTTCTGATTAGAAAGAGAGGCAGCTGCGGTTCATGGTAAAAGTCTTCTGGTTAGAAAGAGATGCAGCTGCGGTTCATAGTAAAATGTTAAAAGCCTTCTGATTAGAAAGAGAGGCAGCTGTGGTTCATGGTAAAAGCCTTCTGATTAGAAAGAGAGGCAGCTGTGGTTCATGGTAAAGTGTTAAAAGCCTTCTGGTTAGAAAGAGAGGCAGCTGTGGTTCATGGTAAAGTGTTAAAAGCCTTCTGGTTAG